TTCACTCATTTTGTTAGTGCTTGTAGATAATAGGCTAGTATACCTATATCTGAAACGAATGTGAAAAACCAAAGTAAATTTTAATGTGCAAATTGAAAGGGTATGCATTGAACTCTGAACTATATCTACTCGTGTGTATATAGATTCAGTTCATTCTGAAATTGTATTCATCCATAACCAGAGACTGGATATAAAAGCGATTGACGATGAATCGAGTAAATCCATTTCTATGGGAACATAAATTGTAATTTTAGTAATTGAGCAATACCTTTATTGAAACAAGGAAAGGAATTACTCGGCGCAACTGAAACTAAAAGGGCACAAAAGCGAACGAGATATTATAAAAAAATTGAAAAATCTCATAAATTCGTTATGTTATTGAATCAACTTTTCTCTTGCGCCAAAAAGAATGAAAAGAAGACCGTTGGCAAATTAGAAAATCAGCTTTGTTGTGCTCCTTTCGAATCAGTTTTACGTATTACGTTTTCTGAGAAAATTAAAAAATTACAAAAATCGCGGAGGAAAGAGAAAATTCCCTCTGTAAATATTTCATCGCGAATTCATTATATCCGCGAGATCAAAGTTGAGAAAATTGCCATGCAAGTGAAGGTAGACAGACTTACAAAGTTTTTATCAAAAGGATGTTCATTTTGTTCATTTGGAGGAGAAAAATCCACTGGATTTCCAAAGAAAATGCAGCCGGCTACTTTGCTCGAATACGTACAGCAGTTATTCCATCGCAATTAATTTAAGCTGCGAACAAAGTTTGTGGCTGATCAGAGATTAATTCGGACTTTTTTAATTCCTTCTCTCTATATATTTGTAATCGGATTTGCATATTATTACTTTAACCTCGATCGGGATTTCTTCTTTCGAGCATTTCTCGCCGAACATTTTTATTTGAAATTCCAATTGAACCAGACGAATGAAGTAAAAATTTCTGATTGCGAGTTGATTTGTATGAAAGGAATTAACCGCAAAATATTCCAAATTATACTAAAAAAAGAATCGTTTTACATGAAATTCGTGGCGCGGGACGTCCTGTATTACTAAGAATTTCGTTATGATTTGAAGGGTCTGCATAATAATTCTAGTAATTTTAATTTTCTGTCTGCATTCGCCCTTCCATTTATACTTGTAATCTTTTAAATAACTGCCGAATACTTTGGTACTTACATTGTGCGCTGGGACAGTTTAGTAAAATTCTTTCTCCCAAATATTTGGCTTAATTAAATTAAGGAAAGGAAGACCCTTTTAATTAAAACGTTTCTGACTCCGGTATTTCAAAAACTTTGATAACTTTTTATGCAGATACCTACTAAAAAATAATTAATCATTTTGGGTTTTATTGTTACTAAAATGTTACTATAAACAATTTAGAAATAATTACTATGAACTGGAAGCAATTGGGTACACTAAATAATAGGTGATTAATTCTCAAAAAATTAATTAAAGCTTGTTATATTAGGATTACCCCGGTGGAATAGTACAAAGTTTTCTCGTGAAGATATAAAACTTTAATATTTCCGATGAATTTCGCTTAAAGCCTGTACGCCCAACAAGCAGCCGGGACTGTCATGGAATCTTAATTAGTTCCTATAGTTTTAATTGAAAGTACCACGAGGTGAAAAAACGTGACCGGTCGTTCGTTTCTTTTTACGTGCATCCTTTCATCGTTACGAGTGGCCTGCGAAAAATACCATTTTCACCTACAACTCACTGTTAAGATATATACATATTAAGCGAATTAATTAATTAGTCAACTTTTTAATTGTTTCATGTAAATGCATATTCAACAACTATACTCGGTGCACACGTACAAAATTCCCGTTTAATTAAACATTTCCAGTAAACTCTGCCGCTAATTGCGACTAGTTTTCTTGCTGTTACTCGATATTTTCAAAAGTTTTTAACAAACTCATTACCTTTTTTGGACGGTCGGTAGTAACACGAGCTGCAAAAACGTGACCTGCTGCAGCCTTTTTCCCTGTTTATAACGAATTTGTATCCCATTTTATTTCGCACGAATTTAAGCTTTGCATTTAAAACAGGAATGTGCAAATATAGCACAAAACATAATAGCCTATAGTTAATTTATTTTTGCATAAAAAGTGCAGCTTTGAAGAACTGGAAAAAATTAATTACTACCTTATGAACAATGTGTGGATGGCGTGCCATGTAATTAATTTGATACGAGCTCCGGGAAAATGGAGTAAATCAGTTTCCGCGCACCCCGTAATTCGACTGGTTTATAAAATGTTAGCGATGATATTTTTTACGCCAATATTAAACCCCGCCGGTATCTAACAATGAAAGGGCTGAACGTTCGAATTTCACCACCGGGTTTAAGGGATAACAGGTTAAATGAATGTTTTCGGAGGTATTAGGACGCAGTATCGGATTTTAGGAATCTATTCTTTTGTCGCTCGGCGGTATTGCGAAAATTGGATTTATGAGCGCTACGTTAGAATACCCACCGATCCCGTTAAGCCCGCGTATGCTCCGGTTTTAATTAATTTTTATTATGAATTGAACGATTTTAAGTAAGGTATTATAATGGTAAATCATGCTGAGTACACTTTTTGAACCCAACCGATTTATTACTAAAGGTACAGTCGGTGCAAAACAAATATCAATGCACGTCACCTGTAATTTACTACTTGCATTAACAATATGAGGAAATTTTTCGTATGTACACAGTAGATTTGTAAACTAATTAATCATTGAAATCTCCTCAAACGGACCTTATAGCGAATCTACCGCTAGTGGAAAAAACTACAATAAAGCCAACTGCACCCGATACTCTCTGTAAAAAAAACCGTTGATTACCCTTTTTAGCAAGTTCGACGACACATACGTGTTAATTAAAGCGCCGTATCACCGTCGCTCTAAAGACCTTTTAACAGCGGCGCGAAAAAAAATCCACACGTCGCGATGACGGACTGATGAGGATCGCGATATCCAGAGCATAAAGGAATTTTAATAGCGTACGTGTAATGATGTAAAGAAGGCATTCGCAATTATGTGGCTCATCAATCAATGCGAGTCCTCCCCGCACACGAAACGGATTACCGGGCGGGACATTGACGGCGCCCGAGGAAAGGAAACCTCCTTTCCTCGGTCAGTTTATCCTACCTGGAAGATTAATTTTGTTCATCACAATGTACAGCGATCACAGTAGGGTATTTTTTATGGAAGTCAGTGAATTTCTATTAGAACTCGCATTTATACAACTTTAATTCCGCTCACCGAAAGTGCGGTATTTTAATATTTTGAATACTTAGGTATTTTATAGGTGGATTTTTCAATGTCGATACAGGAAAACTAATTCAAAAGAAAACTTGTTGTAAGGAAATTTTCTCGCTTGCCGCACGCTCTGCACCTAAAAGCTAAAAATATTCTCGCTCGGTACTTTCAATTTTATTAAAAATTGTACGGTTTGCATGTAAAGGCCATGTCGATAGTTCGAGTGCATTTCGAACAATGTTTTTGGCGTAAACGAAACGAATATTCTTCTGTATTGGCTTTCTAGAATTACGAGCAAGTAATACAACTCTTGAACGGCGAAAATTGATCATGCGACGGTCGCGACGTCCTTGTTTTCTTTCTCTCCGGATATAAAATAAATGCCGCGAGCCAAGGGAGGAGCGAAAGCGAGCGCCGGTGTTTCAATTTCAAAGCCCGGGATATACGAATAAAAGAAAGATCATAGGGAATGAGGGTGGACGTTAGACGCTCCTAACTAAATCATTCGCCTAGGTACAAAAGTACCGATCGAATGAGTATTTATTTGCCATTTCCTACATCCAGTAAACCCGAATGGGTCCTCGTAAAAAATTCCGAGACATGCCTCTGGTCGAACCTCATTAAGCGAGCCATCGGTCAGTCACCGCATTTACATCTTTCATTTAGAACTTGTCCGCCGAAGTTTCACGTGGAAAATGTTAATTTCATTTATGGAGCCCGTTCGCGGAAGTACTTCGACCGGCCAAGATTAATTGGCCAGAAATTTCATTAGCCGTAATTTCATTTCGCGTAATTGCTAAGTTTTGAGCCCCTTGACATTCGGCATATCAAACAAACATCGGCGATTCATCCGCGGATACTTGCAACTTTATTCATGCTGTAATTAGTTCATCATCGCATGGATTTATATATTTATATGGTTGCTAATGGAAGTAACTAAATGTGAAATTGTGAACTTCGTTTGTATGCATTTTGGAAGCATATAGTGTGTTTTATTCATAAATTAAAATGCTTTATGTGCGCTATTGGAGATAGATAAAACAAGAACTTTATCAGCATTATAGTTAAACAATGGCATTAAAACTAATTTAAACTCGGCGGAGTAATGACGTTAACCGATAGTCAATTTTCATTTAAGTTGTCTATCTTTCATATTAAATATTCCCCGCAAGGTTTCCAATCCGAATCCGGGGAGAAGCGGCGTCTCGAAACTCGGTTTCCGAATTGCATCAATCATTTTATCAGTCAGGAACACAAGGACGTCTTAATTCATTACTTCAAGAGATCAGCTGTAGCGTATAATGCACGTTAAATTCAAATTTTCCGTCAAAGGCAGGGCCTCTTAGCCACGTCACTATGAATTTATCGTTCCAGTATTTCACACAGAATTGCACTCGATCCGCCGAACGGTAGTTTCGGATTTCGGAGGCGCATTCTCGTTCGACACTCGCATCATCCGGACGATTTTATCGAGTTAGATGCTACGGAATAGCCGGCAGCTTTCCCGATTGTTTGCGAACTATCGAAATTGCTATAGAATTGCTTCCATAAAAAGCGGCGTTCGCATTAAAAATTCGAATTAATTGGCGGGGAACTTTTCCTGCGGAGAAACGCCTAATGCGTCGCCGCCTCGGGGGCGTAAGTGTCAAACACAAAACATATCATTCAAGCCCAAAGCGACCAACTCGACTGCAGCCCCCTCGACGAAATCTTTTATTCAAGAAGACTAATTGACTTTTTTTTTCGCTTTGCAGATGAGCCTTTCACGGTGTTCGCGCCGCAGAATTCGGCGACGAGGCGCGCCGAGAATCTGCTCCACCAGCCGGATCTCATCAAAAAGCTGTTACTCGATCACGTGGTGCTCGGATCGCTCGTCGACTTGACGAACGCGTCGAACGGGACGTCCGTTAAGACGCTCGGCGGCGGCACCGTCGATATTCGCCCGGCGAAGGAAAACAATTTGAAAGCCAATAACGTTAATGTCGTGGAGAGGAAAGTTGTTGTTCCTAATGGTGAGTTCGTCTGGAGAATGTTTTTGGTCAATTTGGCCGGTAAATGACTAAGACGAATCGGCGGGGTATTTCCTAAATTTTGTTTCTTTTTGCTTAATTATACCGAAACTTTTGCCATTACTATTCCGGAGGTCTTTGTTTAATTTATTACTTGTTTTTATAGAAAAGTTAAGGGCGTTTCTTTCCATTCTTCATGCAAAAGATTCATGGTGCAATTTTTCCGCACTACCTCAATAAACCACAATTTACATGACATTCAAACGTAAGCATTCGGTGGTGAAAACTTCCTAGATTTTTTTACACCGCCGATTCCGGAGCGTTCTATTTTCCGCTAATTTCTCTCACGCCACATTCCACAAGACTAACAACAAAGACCGAATTATTTTCCCGCTCGGTTCGAATGCCGCCGGTCGCATTAGCTCACGAGTGCATCAAAGCTACAATAGAATGTGACCTATTCACTAGATTCGGCCGGGTTTAATCAATCATTCCTACTTTGCGTGCGGGCGGAGCTTTCGAAAGTACCGAGGAATTTTGAAAAATTACCCCGAACCCGCCAACTTCCCCGGTGCATAATTAAATTTTCGATTACTGGCAACGTGATTTACTTAATCGTCCCGGCGCTTCGTTATCATTTCGTCTGCATAAGAATCTGATTGCTGTAGGTATTTTGGTGATTTTGGACGATTACCTGTTTCCTCTGGGCGAAGAAATGAAACAGGACAACGCCGTGTCGACTTCGTCGTCGACAGTGGCACCGGCGAAGGAGAAACCGGCGGAAGCGGCGTCGTTTTCGGCGGGTCCGAGCGAGAGCAGTAAAAATCAATCGAACACCACATTCGTCGAGAACATTATGGAGGTGCTTTCGTTCCTCAAGGGCGGCGTTAGAGTCTTTCAACATTTCTTATCGAGATCTAACGTCTCCAACTTGCTACGTCAAGGTGGGTAATTGAAATTTAATCTGATTTTATTTTATTTATTGATCGGACGTGTTTCCCGTACGTTCGAGAAGCGGTCTTTTTTATTTTATTTATTGGCTGAAGGAAATCCAGATGTTCGTTAGGCCAAAAGAGACCGGGTGAAAAGTGTATAACAAAAATAATTCAATTTATTCGGTGCATGTTATCAAAACATTAAATTATTACAAAACTCATTTTAGTCGGACACTTGTTTTCAAATCCAATTTATCAGCGGGATTAAATGAAACGCAGCCTTCCACTATAAACGCTGGCTCGAAACCCATTTTAACTAAACATTTGACAAATACAAATAACTCAAATTAAGAAAACGCAATAACCAGGACCACAAAAGCCGCAAAGCTACATTAATTATCGTGAAATGGATCCGAAAATTGTCGTCTTTTATTCGCTAACTTTACCTTTTTGCCGGTTTCTGCCTCTCTGTAACCCAATTTCTTTTCTTCCAAGAGCAGCTGCCGTACTCAAGGTTGAATTACAAAAAAAAGGCCGTCTGTTTAATTGAATTTGCTTCACTTCCAGTTTTCCGGGATGCGTACGATATTAAAAAACGACGGTTATTAATTGAGAGTACTTTTCACTTGAAAAAAAAAACCGAAAATTTCAGTTCATTCGAACGAAACGAACCGCAGAATATCGAAAAATTCGATTATCTGTTATTAACAAAGAACGTGCAGGTAGACAAAACTACAAGCACTCCGGTTAAATAATTGAGCCAATTTAACTCCGCTCGAAGAGCGTGGAAATGGAAATTATTTTTAACTTTTTTCTTTGGGAATTTGACGAGAATTATCGGCGAAATAAGACAAGTTAATGACTCTCCCTGCAGTTTTATGCGATTATTGGAAAAACGAAGGAAAAGAGGAGCGACGTTCGGAACAAGTAATGCAATAACAAGAGCATCTGGTTGAATGTCGCTACACAACAATGCCGTAGGTGAAGAAAATTCTTGTCGAAAATATACTTTAAAGTGAGTTTTACTTCTGTGATATTTAGAGTGTATGAGTAAAGTTTTTCTAAATATAACGAATAGTTTCCTTCAAGAAAATGCGACATTATACGTACGTACAGGTGGAGTTTAACGAGGTTGCAAAATGGCCTCTTAAATTATCTTTCAGTGTAAACTTTTTCCTTGGTGCAGGCACAAACCGGGTCAGCTAATGCACTTGACTTTGTCTCTAATGATGGCGCTCGCTGCGTAGTTGCATTTCTCAATTTTAAATCAACTTTTAATGACGCATTTCATGAAAAATGCGCTTTTACAAACTCGAAAGCGCTGCGTGTCGCAATTAATTCCGAAACAGGAAGGTAAAAAAAGTTTTTGTACCCCGTAGCTCTCTATCGAGTTCCGCTCTTGATTTCCTGCAGCTTGTTGGATGTCGCTCTGGAAATCCGTCGAAGCTGAGGCCAATTTCATTACGGAAAATTACTTGTACAGCTCAGACAAACAATCTTTTTTATTATCACTTGAGCGGGACAGACGACGTCTCGTTAATTCTGCAAAAAAACCGTCCGCATTTAATTCGAATCTGTTAGTCGTAAGATCGTATAATGTGACAATATTTTGAATTGGATTTTCTCTTGAAGTGCCGGAAACGCGATATTGTAGAAAACAAGAATAATCTCCGCTCTTAATTGCATTTTTTGCGTACGAATGTCAGAGTATGCACATGCTCCTACTATACCTAATAAAACAGGAATTAGTCAAGCTCGTTGTACTGAAATTTCAAATCAAAATGTTTCAAGAGTCATTCGTTCTACTTGATCCATTTAATCTTGTAAAATTCGAGATGGAATACTCCAATAATTCCTTCGATTTCAGATTAAAAAAATAAAAGAAGCAATATTGAATCTCTGGAAGAGGGCTGTCGTAAATTGGTTCAATTATGTAGGATGCAATCTCGAAATGAAATGGTTTGCCCGTGCATCGGAAACGAACGTCTTCGATTTTGCAAGTTTCAGATTTTAGATTGTGGCGCTAGGAAGAGTCAACAAAAATTTAAAACAACCCCTTTTGCGATCTCGCAGCGAACGTAAAATTGACATTTTATTTTTTGTACAGAACGCTGCTAGTATGTGTATAAGAAGGGATTACAGGAACATACAAAAATAAGAGATTTGCGAAAACATCACAATAGAATAGAAAAATGAGTTGTTAGAATAAATATGTGCGAGAAAACTCGTTTTTTTTTTAGAAACTTCTTGAATGAATTTTTTATAGAACCGCCACTGAGAGCAGTTATTCAAACATTCTTTCACCCGGTCCTTCTACGTTTTCTGCCTACGACCGGAGATAATTTTTTGCAGATAAGTTTTTTTTAACATGGAATCATGCAACCAATCTATTTTGCTTCCTTTTAGCAAAAACATTTTCTACAGCGTACTACTTCGATTTTTCTTTGAATTCCGAAACCCCCACAGCCGTATAATATCAAAATTCAAAACACTTTTTTTCCGCCGTTTGTGTACGAAATTCGCATTTTTCGCATTACCATTTTTGCCGCAGACGAAGAATACACTGTATTCGTTCCGACCGACCACGCTTTCCAGAGATGGCATCCCATCGATTGGGGTTTCTATCCCTTCAGCGTCCCGGAATTTACGGAGAGCGTAATCGTGAACCATTTCGTTAAAGGCAGACTTCGACAACACTTAATTAAAGATGGAGAAATCGTCAAGACGCTGGGCGGAAAAGAAATCGTCTTTAGAAAAACCCGTACGTATTTTACAATTCCAATACTCCTTTACCAGACCCCGGAAATTGTTAAAATTGGATTATGTTTTAATGTCGCTTTGCAGCGAGTTTGACAGTGAACGGGGCGATGCTGGTGAAAGGGGACACCCCGGTGGCCAGGGGGAACATCATGTTCATAGGCGAGGTGCTCTTCGTCACCGAGTCGATCGTGTCGAAGCTCCACCAGCAGCACAAGGACAAAGAGACGCCCCCGCTGCTGGCGTTCCCTTGGTTCGGCGCTCAGTTTCTGTCGCACGCGTTCCTGGCTTTGGAGCGCGACAGGCGATTCAGCCACATCACGAGATTCCTGAACCTGGCGGATTTGGCGCCGCACGTTTCCGGCACCGGGTACACTTTCTTCGTGCCCACTGACACGGCTTTCGAGAAATTGGGCTTGAACAGGATGCCGGATAATTATCTATCCAACAACGACGGTTTGAGGATTTTGCTTAATCACTTCGTTAAAGGTCGATTGTACGATAAGGATCTTACCGATGGACTGCGACTGGAGTCGTTGGGGAACAGAACTATTGCGGTGAAACGAACGGATAAAGGTATAAAACGCAAAACTTGCAATACAATATAGTATCCAATATATACTTTCTGTAGGTGAAGTCTACATAAACGACGCTAAAATCGTGGAAAGTGAAGTATTCGTCTACAATTTGGGTACAATGTTTTATATCGATACGGTTTTATTCACGACGGACAGTGCGTTTTCCAGTACTACCGCAGCGCAAACGGAACCATCGACCTCCACCGAGGGCTGGACAACGGAGAAGAATGTGGAAAAGGTCCCGGATGAATTGGTGGAGGAAACCGGATCGTTACCTGACGTTTTGTTCGCTGATGGTATCAGTAATGATAACGAAACGGAGAGCGTAGCCAACACCACGCAAATCAACACCATCAAATAACTGTATTTATTTTAATAAGATCTGGAAATCTACGTATAAGACATCAAGAGTTTCTCTAAATGTGATTACCAATAAACATTATAAGTGTTTTGTTACAAAGCTAACAGCTTGGCGATTGATTACCAAATTATAGTATTCATATAGCGTTGATCTGCTTAGTCAAATTAACTGTCCTTAAAGTTTTATTCTTCACGATAAATTAATTGATTTGTATTATGTATTTTTAAAGAAAAATCCCGATTTACAATTTCTTTTCTGGTTTGTACGTATACTCGTGTTTTTAATGGTGCATTGTGTGGAGCAAATATTAAACGTAATACCATCCATATCATTGGAGCTCCTGTATTAACTCTAAAATAGCACGCTTTCATTAATATATCAATGTGAGTGTAAATACATAATATAGTCTCAAAGAATGGTGGGTGATTGAAAATCTAATTGCTTTTTTTAACTCGCTTGAATATTATCAACTTTAACAATAAATAACAATACTCGCGATAGATGCGACATAAAATGTATTTCTGTATTATTTTTCTATCAAATCAATTCTGGATACGTGTTCTTTTTACCGATGTTCCAGTTTTATAGTTTGTTGCGCAGAAGTAATATTCGGACCGTTCACGAAGATAAAATTACCGAAACTTTTAGACATTAAATATTAACTATTGAACAAAATTTGTGTCACATTTTCACAATCCCTTCGAGAAAGCGACTAAACTTTGACTTTGATTTACGCAACTTAATGAAAGGGGGCTTTACAGAAATCGTAATACTAATATTAAAACAAAATAACATACCTATTTATTCAAGTAGAATACTTTTACTATGTACAGACACACTACATGTATGTAAGAAATTTAGAAATAATTTATACGTTAAAAGAACAATGACTGATGAATGTTAAAAGAACAATTTGCAAATATTTTGTAAATTGGTTTATATTTCTACAAAAATTAATGTCTGTTATCTTAGTGAAATAGATAAATGTTGTGTAATTCTATTGAAATAATAAATGTTTACTTTTAGCTGAATGATATATTCCCAATATCCCTAGTAAGTACAAACTCCTATTTTACATTTTAAATTTCATTTCTTTTCGTTTTGCCATCTTTCATTCTTGTACATTTTATATTTTCACTTAATAAAACGAATTATCCATGACGAGTCTTATTAACAGTGGCCTGTGTAGTTTAATAACCCAAGAAAGAAATATTTAGAGAAGTTTATTGAAACATGCGTAAGCTATCACAGCCGCAAATGATTAAATTAATCCTACGTAAAGCAGATTTTCATTGGCCCAAACGGGCTTGGGTAATTTCTTCCAGAGGATTCTTATGGTCTTTCATCATTGGTCTAGCTTCGTAGGTGCAAATCGTAACTCCATGATGATGAGCTTCTGTGAACTCTCCTTTCAGACCTATATAGTATATTTTCGTCGTTTCTGCGCCAAAGTTGCTCGGAAAATGCAGTGTTAAATGGTTTACACTATTAAAAGTGACAACTCTAAAAAAACAACAACAATTAGAGTCTTCGATAGAAGGGTAAAAATGAGCAATTATATGGATATTTACTTTGTGTTGTATTCAGCTGATCCAGAAATGTCTTTAACTAATTCAAATTCTTGATCTGCTTGTGCGCTGGTATCGTCGAAAGTCATCGAAGGGCGGTTCTTGAATCTGTAATTTTACCATTTAAACAAGACTATAATGAATAATTCCAGAATACTTACAATCGCATTTTAGAAGGATGTGTATCGGAGTCCTCCCCTATGACTTTTATCGCTTTTAATTTAACATTTCCTACAAACGGTATGTTAAACAGGAGCTCTTCATCGGCATCTGACTCCACAAACTAAAACATAATGCAATTTTAACATATTACAAAAACTAGTCTTTATTAAGAGGTTCCTAAGAATCGTTAGTTCATACCAAATAATTCAAACGGTCTTCCCAGGGTTTAAATACATTTTGCCCAGAGTATTCAACAGATTCATTTAAACATTGCACTTTTTCTTTATCTATTTTGTTGTACAAACTATAATGTATACCAACATCGCCTCCTGTATGACAGCAACGTCTCATTTTATTACTTCAAATGCATAGCAACAGTTTTATGTTATTTTGAAGGATATGAAGTTGAATGTTTACCTAATTTCAGTATTCTAAAGGCACTTACCACTTCGAAATTAAAACGCTCTTCCCAGGGTTTGAACACATTTTTCCCGGTACCTTCGACGGCTTCATTTAAACACTGTAAATGGTCTTTGTTAATTTTAGCGTATAAACTATAACTAACACCGGTTTCTTCGGGTTCGTGGTGGTGGCTCGCGCCCCCACAACACTCCCCGTGAGGTTTCATATTTGAAAATAAATTAATAAATTTTAGGTTAGGTTAAGTTAAACGTCAAAAAAGAAAAACATCATTAGAAATGACAAGTGACATATGTCAATGAAGTATTATTAGCGTTTACTATGGCCGAATAGCCCTGACAGCCAAAAACTTAAGAAGAAGAAGAAGCGTTTACTTTGGCCGAATAGTCCTGGCAGATGAGGCCAAGAACTAAGAATATACGATGAAGAAGATTTTTGTTTTATGCTTTTGTATGTTTTTTGTTTTAAATTTTACACGTTCCGAATTAACAATTTTCTCTTTATTTAATTTTGTACAATTTCGAACACAGTATCAAAATTACAATGTTTAAATTAGGTACAAGGTAAAAACAAAGCTTGATGAAATCTGAAGCTCGAAGTGTCAATGTCTTTTTTAAATAATCTTCAACTGTCATGAATACTTAAGTATATTAATTTGTTTCCCATTTTCAGTATGCAGAGATATTCACCATCTTTTTACGCTAAAATAAAGATAGTGAATGTCCTGATAACTCTACTACATATATAACAAAATACTTAATTATATTGGAAGTATAATTAAAATAAAATACATTCATCATATTTTCTCACTCGGTGTCTTCAACAAACCGTTGTTTTAGTAATACTCATAAAGCATTCCAATCCATTGAAAAGCTAAATATGGACAATCTTTTACAGCTACGTATTTCCCATGTATTTTTATGGGACTGAAATGTTACTTTTCAACTACAATAAATTGTCTAATTCACACTTATAACAAATAACAAAAATAAAAAAGTGGTAATCACACAACTAATTCATAAATGTGGCACGTATTAATGGTAACTTTTGTTAGATTTGTAATTCACATAATTAAATAATTTGATGATGTGCTTAATTATTGAGAAATCGATTTTAAGGAACTTCTATATGACTAGACTAAAACATAAATTCTTTAAAACTCACAGCAATTTTGTAATTCATTAAGCACACCATCCAAAGAAATCTAAAATAACCGTAGATTTATATTTGAATAAAATATGCAGTTTTCAACGAAGCTGGCTGTGATTAAATACAAAACTACCGAAAGATTTACTATTCAGTAAATACAAGTTTGTTCGACACTAATGAATGATGCATTTATAAAGAAAAAAATCAATATTGCTTATTCATAAAATAATACTTCGCTCTTATTGCAATCTCAACGTATTAATACTCAATTGTAAGTGGAAGATAAGGGATTCTAGGAAATTTCGCCATCGCACTTAAATTATACCTTCTAATCTCTTGATTTAAATTTTTTGTTAATAAAATATAGTACAGTCACAATGAATCAAGTCGATTTTATAAAAAATAAATTTTCTAAATACCTTTAATTAAAAAAAATGTCATCGAATTAAGATATTGTTTACTATCAATGTAGAAAACATTTCTGATGTTATAAATGGTCTCATAATTAGAAAAATGCCTATTTTCATCACTAGTTAGGCAACATTGATAAGTCGGATTTATCCATGAAATACAATAGTTCGGTTTATAGTACTGCAATAAAAAGTAAAAAACCGTTGGAAGAAATTGGAAAATATCTATTTTTTCAAAGTGATAGAAGAAAGGAAGAAGAAAAAGGAAGCGCTACCTTTAAAAATACCGTATGGAAGCTAAAAGCAAATGTCATAACGTATGTCTATGAATAAGCTTATTGACTTTGTTCCTAGCACGCTCCTTATAGGAAACCTGCTGAGAAGGTCTATTCGCATTAACACCATTCACCACTAGTCTCTCCCTATTATTTACCGTTTCTACGATACTATCCTTACTAACAGCCTTACTAGTTACGACGCAACAATTCTCCGTATGCACCTCCACGCTAGTCGTACAGTTTATACTAACATTCGCCTTCAAATTAATCGAATTGTCGCTGGTTTTGCACGAATCACCGTACTCCAATAGAGCGTCCCCGTTACCGTTTCTCGCGTTATCCGCGTCCGATTCCTTCCTGGGCGCCGCGTCGGCGCCGCCCGTTTCCCTGCGGTGCTTCTCGTCCTCCGTCCAAATGATAACTACTCAATCCACCCGATGGGGGTTAGCCCGGGGGACCCGCGCCGGCGTCGGTTGCCCCTTGTACACGAACACTTGCAGCAATATCAGCAAATCGACTGTCACTTGGACCGAACCGCACACCCAAAACTGCACGGGAGCGTCGCGAACTAGGAAATACGTTGTCTTAAATATGTCCCCGCATGTCCACATCACCACCATCATTATACTAAAAAAATATAAATTCAATTTACTACTAAATTTCACAAAAATTGTACGAGACGGGCGATGATAAATGATGGTTATTTCAGAAGATTGTACATTGCAAAATAGTCATTAAATGCAAATCCAATTAGCGACCAATAAAATTAATAATGCAAGTTATAGAAATAGAACAATGTCGAGAATAACATCAACAAGAATATTAATTAAAGCTGAAATTAATTGCGCTAATTACCTCATTCCTTCTGTCGATTTGTTTCGATAATTCTTCATTAATTGAGGCGTTCCTAGCATAGCTTCTGTAGATAGGGCTAGAAAACCAACGGTTTCGACGAAAATCATGTAGTCTATAAATATGTACATCATCAACGAAGCTGCTATGGTGAAGATAAGAATACAATCCAGGTACGATTGAAAATCAGTCCAATTCCAAAAGTACTTAGCGTTGAAATCTGCAAAAAGTATCGATAAAAACTTCGAATTTTGAATTAATTTTTAAAATATAATCTACCCTAGTGCATAATTATTATCAATTAACTTCGTAGTGTTTCGGAAATATGAGCCCCCTTTGTATGAAATTAATTAGCGAGTAATTCTGTGATTTTTGCTTCTATATATCTGCGGAAAATTAATTACCCTTTAACGAATTACCTACCTAAATGAACATAAAGGAAAGTAGGACGCACTTCATTAGGAATCTATTTTAAGATAGTTGACCTTTACTGGAAAGCGTAGATAAAAGCAATAAGAATGATGATACAGTAAAAATATTGTTCATTCACATTCTGTAAATACCATTAAATATGTATATTTAGAATAATAATAAAAAACAATAAAAATCAATTATTTATAAAAAATATATAATACTAATTTTGTTTGTAATGCACTCTTTACATACCTAAATATGTATAGGTTTTAAATATGTACATAAATATGTGCTACTAATGTTATACAAGCTTTTTAACACGCAGGATTTATATAATAACCTTGTTTACTTGCATAATACAAATAGTAAAAGTTTAATTTAAGTTCGTCATGTAATCTTATGGATTTCAAGTGCTTCCTACGGCTTTATAACTCGTTCATTTATTAATTATGTAATTAACACCAAATTTTAATATTTTCCAAAATATACTTATACTTTTTTATGGTATAGTATTTATTGAATATGAGATTATGATGGCACTTGAATATGTGATTAAGATAAAGTTAAGAATGATGAAATAAGTAATTAGTAATGATGTGTATTTAACGAAGTTTTATTTTTTAATGTTAGTGTAAGTTAGTGTGATGTATTATAAATATTATAAGCTATATAAAGCGTGCAAGCTAATTTACCACAAAAACTGCGGGAAGAACGGGGAGGCTTTGAATTTAGCAATCTCTTAACTTCTTGAGGTTTGGCTGCCAAAATAATCTTTATTAATGTTAATTGTATATACAAATATGTACAAAACATATTGCCATTTCATAAAACCTAGCTCCAAATCTACAATTCACAAAATACTCTAGGCATTTATAAACTATCTGCATCCCAAAAAAGTGTATTAAGCACTACTAATACATAATTTATTTAAAAAACTATCAGAAAATCTCCACTACAAATATTATTATTAATATAGTTTTTAAGTGCGAAACTCATGTACGTACAAGTTTTATATAACAATTTATCTTTATACAATAAAATGATCGTATCAAGTCCAAATTGTACCATTGTATGGTAGTTAATTCAGTCAATTCATGGCCAATTATTGTGGGCTTAAAACTTTAAAAACTCGTCGTTTAATAAAACAATGAAACAGAATTCATTACAATGCTAAATAATGCTTATGGTAATTTATTGATTATTGATTAATATATCTAAAAATACATTTAAAACTCACCTGTGAAAATCCTCTGCCTTGCCTGAACCAGCTGATTCTTATTTCTAACATTTACACACAAATGGATCATGAGAAACATCGTCACATTCATTATTATACTTTGTACCAAAAGTGGGTATTCAAAGTGTCTTCCAAACCTACAATTTAGTAAATTCGAGGCCCATGGCAACAGTTAAATATCATTGTATATTTACCAAAACATTATCCTTAAAGTATTCGCTACCAGCAAAGCGAGACATACTAACAACGAGAATCCCTCAGCGTCTTTAGTTCGTCTAATTTGTCTGTATTGGGGTATGTAAGGGATGACACCTCCTATTATCATAGCACCAGCACTGATCCACCCGACAACTGTGCCCACAGTGAGAGACAATTCGTCCGATATCACCCAATCCATTGTGATAGCGATTTAATTGAAATTAAGACTTATTTAACAATATCCATTTGCCGAAGAAAGGAGTAGGTGGCCGTATTACCCACTTACTCGACAAACAACGAATGAAATATTTATTACTGACACTGACAGTTCAGACAGTTGACATTTACTTGTCAGATGTACCAACTGCCAAATACTAAATATTTCAAGGTGGTTAATGTAAGAATAAGGACGAGGCAAGATACTTTTACGCAAAAGAAGTTGTGAGGTTAGTGTTGTTTTTATTTGTCAAAATTTGTAATTTGTGTTTCTATAAACTCGATTTATTATAATTTACGTAATTATAAGATGTAAAAACGGTCAGAAATCACAATACACATATTCGTTTGATCACCCTATAACCTTTAAATACAGTAAATAATAAAATTTTAGAGCAATGCTACCGGTAAAAATCATCCAACCAGTCCTAGGAAATTACCGAACCGTTTTCAAATTTAGTCCTATCATATTAAACAATGTTATCCGAAGGCATAAATCGGGCAAAGAAAGTAGATTAACAGCGAGGGCCGAAAGAGCAGAACTGGACACAAACGTAAAACCGCTCGGAGAAAAAGTCAAAGAAACAACAAAAACTGTATCCTATTTAGGCATAATAGCTCTTGGAGTTGCTGTAACAGGCACTCTATTTTACGCCGTTTTCAAGGAGTTGTTTTCGAGCAACAGTCCGAACAACATTTACTCCAAAGCAGTTAAAAAATGCATAGCAGATCCTCGAGTAGAAGACAAATTGGGGAATCCCATATCAGCGTACGGAGAAGAGACTAGAAGAGGTAGAAGACAGCACGTTTCCCACGTGGTTTACATGGGAAAGGACGGAAGGAAGCATTTGAGAATGCAGTTTCATCTGAAGGGCTCTTTTCACAAGGGAGTTGCTCAATTAGATATGGTTGAGGTGATTATATTTATTTGAATAATGGTTATTTTTACTAATAATATTATTTTTAGAACGATGCTGGGAATTTTGAGTACAGGTACCTTTTTGTGGAAGTCGATGATATGCTGAGGAATGTTATTGTTGTTGAAGATAACAGGCATGAAGCATCTACAGTTGTTCCAGATGGATCCTTTGCGGATTTTAAATATTAATTAGAAATTATTGTTTCTTATACTCAATTCAGAATACACTTTATTTTAATAATTACAAGAAGATGAACTTTTTTATCAGTTTGAGATTTTTCTATGCTCTTTTTTTGTTGTTATAGTACCAATTTTTATGTAAATCTTCATTGTTGGCATAAAAAATAGAAATACTTGTAAAAATATGTTCTTTATTTTTTGTTTAAAGGCGAATCGGCATAATACCACACTAATCTATTGTGAAATATGTAATCTTTTATTTTTCGTGCTAACCATGATAAAATAATGTATATAGCAAAGTACTGAATCCATGCCATTTTAATTATTTGCCAGAATCCAGGACGGTAATAAATTTGTTGTTTGGGATATTTTACCAACAATTTTAATGTGAATGACTTCTGGATTCCTGTTTTCACGACTGTATAAACGTTTTTTAAATGAGTTGTAACTAAAAAATAAAGTTTTATGAAGTTTTAGTCAATATTTTGTGCTCTTTTACTCACCATTTCTTTGTAAATACTTCTCCAAGATGCTTTCCAAAGCATAATTCTTACTTTCTGGACCATTTTCTATTATGGGAACGTTGTAAATATCTGACAATTTAGGTCTACACGAAATTGGACTTGACTGGACAAACTCCAAACTAGCATAAATGATTAATTCAGTCACTTTTTCTCGTTGGAAATTGTACTGGTAAATGATAAACGATTGCATTTTAAGAGTACAGGGATCCTAAATCAGCATATATTAGAACATCTTTCAAATACATTAAAATATTTGCACTTACCTTTAATTGATATTTGATTGGAAGCACCAAGTTTATCGAGTCTAGTGTATAATTGTAAAGATTAAAATTTATTTCCATCGTTAGTTCATCATTTTTTCCATCATAATTGTAATCTATTTCTCTAAACTAAAATCAAAAACGAAATTTACTTCAATGGATATTTCTAAAAAAATCTCGTCTTGCCTTTATTATTGAGCAAAAATCGTAATGTGGCAAATGCTGTCTATAAAATAGATATGTACTGCAAACAATAGGGGTTGCATTACTTGTTTTAGCTGTTAAAATATAATCTCCTACTAAATCTACTGTCGGTTGTTCATAAAATGAAGCCGTTTTTAACCATAAACCTGAAAAATAATACCTTTTTAAATTATGACCAAAAGAGTAATTCAATTCAATACTCACCACCTGTGTTGTAAGCAATTATAAATGAGAATATTATTGCAAATAATTCACTTAATAACACTAAAAACGTAGCTTTAGAAAAAAGAGTACTTTTATACTTAATTTTTAGATTTTTTGCATAAACACTTAAAAGAACCATTATTTTATGACATAAAATAGAAAAAACATAAAAAATATCAAATGCCTAAAGGGTGCGCTTAATGTTGACATGGTTGAGTTACTATAACAACCACTGACTTAATACAAATAAAAATATACAAAGTTCTATATACATGGTGAAAAATAAAATGCAAACGTTTTTTAGAGTATTATATTACACATTTTCATCATCATTTTTAATGATTAATTCAATTTGTTCGTGTATATTCTCATCACTGCATTCCGCTTGGGATTCATCGTTAATTTCCGCCTCAATTGAAATTTCGCATTCTTTCTTTCCCTTCGCACTATCTTCGTGGATTTCTTCTATACCTTTCTCACAGGCAACCGTGATTCCTTCTTCTTCTTCTTCTAGCATATCTCCGGTGCTGTCGCTCCATTTTGAAGCAGTTTCTCTCAGTGGTTTGAGGACGGATAAGTTGTCTTGAATAGCGCTTAATTGCTTGTCACATTCACAGGCGATTTCAGAGAGCCAACTCTAGAGGAAAATTAAATATTTAATAAAATGTATGGATTGAAAATTTAATTTACCTTGTAGTTTTTGCGCTTTAATTCCAGCTCGTAATTCATCATATAATTAGTATAATTTTTGTGATCCTTAAACATTTCCATATTTTCGTCGATGTTATCATCGTTCAGTAATAAATGCGGTTGTGAGAGCTGCTTCTGTAGCGGCATGTTCTCTACGGTATTTTTCAAATCTACTACTTTGGTAATTTCTTCTTGCAATAATTGTTTTTCTTTTCTCAGTTGCTCCTTTAAAGTTTCTGCTGTCGTTTTCAAACTTAATATTTTCTTCAGCAATATGTTTTGTCGTGATTCCGCCGTTGATAACAACAAATTCATTGCTTCGTCCTCGTATGCTTTAGTTTCAGATACTTCGTTGTCAAATTCCTTATCTAATTTACAAATGTCATTTTCATTGGAATTTTCGGTATCTTTTTCTATATCGTTTGTTTCCATGTTTTCATCGTTTGTGTAATCTGTTTCTCCAATTTTTTCTTCTTCTTGTTCGTCTTTAATAGAATCAATTACAGATTCTCGTTGCTCTTCATTATCATTTTCAGTATCTTCTTCGCTTTTAAACATACTTTTCGACGTTCCTTTAGCAAATGTTACCCCTTCGCTGGATTCTTCTTCACTTGAATTTTCATCGCTGAATTTACTCGAATTTCCGTCACTGCATTTACTCGAATCCTCATCTAACAATAATATAAATTAAAAAAATGTATCCTGGATATCTACTAATTCTTTAATATGCATTGTTACTTTTTTGATCGACTTCGGAGACTACCAATTCGTCCAATTCGAAATCCTCAATGTTCAACGTTTTTTCTTTCGCTGCATCGAGAGCCAGTTTCTGCAGCATCTGTCCGGCTTTTTCGAACATGACTCGCTGTTCATCTTTGGGCGAGAGTATTACTGGGCTTTCTTTGGGTTCGATCATCACGCTTCCCGGACACAACAAACATACGGTTGAAATTTTTTTCACAAATGTAATTGTCAATGTACGTCAAATTGAAAGCGAATTATATACAGGGTGATTGAACACTGCGTATTGTAATGTAAGGAGAATAAATTTTGTTCATAAAAAGGAATTTTGGTTTTTGTTATTTTAAGCATTCATTCATTCATTTAAAACTTATCACTATACATATTATATAGGATAATGAGTAGTAATTAATTAAGGAAATAGGAAAGCTTCCTCAGGAAGTAGTTCGATGATAATAATAACGAATAAAAATTAATTTAACTTTATCGTAGGTTATTTTCGGGCGTTAATTATTTCACAACAGGATCTTATTTTTTTGGAGTTTTAGTGATAAAGTCTAATATTTCGTTTCTCTACTCCTATTTTTTTGTATTCAGTAATTTTATCATCTTAGCAATTATAATCACCAATTTTTACCATCCTTTACTTATGAAATTTAATATCAAACGTGCAATATTTATAATGCCAATTAATTTAACTTTGTTATTTGAAATTTTACCATTTTAAATGAAGATCAATTCTGAATAAAATTCCAATAATTCTAATAGAAATTACTGCAGTAAATTAACTTGATTTTCTGTTTGCGGGATTGTCATTTACATAATTCAACATTATACAATATAAAATAAAGCGATAACATACCGGAGGACCAGTAGTGATTGTGAAGCGTGAGCGTAACTTTGAGAGTTTGGGTAAGTAAATTACAAACTTTTCCAATTATTGGAAATAATTTTTATTTGAACAAAAATTATTAATATTTAAAAAGATAATGGTGAAATATTTTTTTGTACATGATGGAAATTAATATTTCATTTAATTGGATTTTTAGAAAATAAAATAATAAAAGAGTTTAATTTTCTGATAAACTCTGATACTGGTATTACCATAATTATTTAAAATTAATAAAATAAAAATAGTTACAGAGGTCACAAGAACTAATCAACGAAATAACAAACGTAGATATAAAATGAAAATTCTGGTAATATACATTAATAGAATAAACTAGTATTTCTCTTAAATTATAAGTACCTAAACTAGAACCATTTTGATTTTTTTTACTCTTTACAACAATTTTAGCATAAAAATGGAACCCGCGACGGTAACCGGAGTTAATTTCCACGCGTTGGAAAACTCCAAACCTCATCATACTGATGAATACGATTTAGTTAAAAGCGAAACACCAACTCCAATTCTCAGAAGAGGAGAAACTTTCCTTATGAGCATCAGCTTAAACAGAAAGTATGATCCCGAACACGATGTCATTCGCATTAGTTTCGGCTTTGGTAAGATTTTTTTCTAAAACCCATGGAATTGGTGAATTTGTGCGTTTGATTTAATAGGGGAAAAACCGAACGCTGTGTTGGGAACGAAAGCTGTTCGTCCTGTTATGCCGCACTTGAAACACTTTCCCAAAGATCCACATCTATGGGGTGTCATGTTGAAAGAAAATAATGGCGAGACGGTGCTTCTCAATGTTAGAATACCACCGCACGTACAAATTGGAATTTGGGCCTGTAATATCATTACAACGATTTCCGGACAGAAGGGCGTTCGAAAGGATTACAAGGTGAGAGCTTTATTGCTGTTTTACGTGGAAAAAATTTCTTCGAACATTAATTTTATTGAATTATTAAAATTATACGCCATCAAGGATTTTGTTTTAATATTTTTTTTGAAGATTATACCTGTAAATTGTAGACCTATAAATTTTATTAGTACCTACTTATATAATTTAGTGACAGACATATTATTGAAGATTTAAAATATTAATAAATTTTTGTGTTAATTAACAATTTATACGTGGGTGACGAGTCTACATATTTTTGCATTTTTTAATTTGTAATATTAAACATTATACAATGAATGATTTGTTTACAAAATATTTAAATACATTTTTATTTACATTACAATTAACATTAGGAATATTGTCAAGGTTTTAAGGATAACAAGTTTCACGACAAAAATTTTAATTTTCCTTAGGTTTTTCATAATTTATAATGTTTTTATTGAACGTGAAAGTGCATTAGGTAATTAAATAATTTATTGCAAATATAAATGTGCATTTCAATAATTGAACTTTGAATGAATAAATAATAAATTTATACTTAATACAGTTCTTTAATAAAATGTGTTGATGAAGATATCTAAATAGTTAAATATTATTTAAAATATAGTGGATCCTAGACTTTAACTAATCAATAATAATTATTAATTTGTATTCATTAAATCATCACAGTGGTATAATTTGAATAAATTAAAAATCAACACACTACCAAAATTGTTAATTTTGGTATCTTAATAGCGTGTCAGTAGTCATCGTATAATAAGATTTCCATACAAACAGTATAATTTGTTTATTTTAGAATACAAAATACAATACCCAAACCCGTATTGCATATTAATAAGTAATATTTTCAGGTTGAAGATGATGTGTACATTATTTTTAATCCCTGGTGTCCCGAAGATGGAGTCTACATGGAAGACGAGAAAGAACGACAGGAATACGTGATGAACGAAAACGGAAAAATCTGGACCGGAACGTTCAAAAAACCCAAAGGAAAGCACTGGATTTTCGGTCAATTCGACGAAGTATCCCTACCAACAGCCATTTTCCTTCTCGAAAAATCAGGTCTAAGCACCTCCCAAAGGGGCAACCCAGTGATGGTTTCCAGAGCCATATCAGCAATGGTAACATTAATTTACCAACATCGCTTCAAAAATTTAACAACTTATTCATCGCATATTCATTAGATAAACTCTGTAGACGACGGGGGACTGCTCGAAGGGAAATGGGACGGGGACTATTCGGACGGAACGTCCCCGTTTTCCTGGACAGGATCGACGGCTATCCTCGAGCAATATTTAACCACCGGCGGGGCTCCGGTGAAATACGGCCAATGCTGGGTGTACTCCGCCACAACCGTCACAGTTTGCCGAGCGATCGGCCTTCCGTGCCGATCCACCACTAATTACGTCTCCGCTCACGACACCAACAGCTCATTAACCGTGGATAAGTACGAAAAAAACATTTACACTAATTACTACAAGTAAACCAATACTGAAAAATAACGATGAAAGTCGCAACCTGTGAGAGCGCTCTTGCCTGAAAACTGACGAAAACAAGTCGATTTTGAGTTGAAATTCGATTTTCTAGGTATTTCGATGTATTCGGCGAGAAGATCGAAAACGGCCCCGACGGCGCCTGCAGCGATTCCTGCTGGAACTTCCACGTCTGGAACGACGTCTGGATGGCGCGACCCGATCTGTCGCCCGGCTACGGCGGCTGGCAGGTGATCGACGCCACGCCGCAGGAGTTGAGCGACAACTCCATGAGATGCGGCCCGGCGTCGGTGGTGGCCGTCAAGAAGGGAGAAGTGGGCTTTTTGTACGACACCCCGTTCGTGTTTTCGGAGGTAAACGCCGACATCATTCACTTCCAAGAAGACGAGGCGTCCGATTGGGGGTTCAGCAGGACCTCGGTGAACCAGTACACGTAAGTCCAGCAGAATTTAACGAAGTACCTATTCCAAATTGACTTATTGCAGTGTTGGAAGAACGATTGTAACCAAGAAAGTCGGCCCAACAGACGACGATGATGATAAAGACATGGAAGACATAACTCATTTGTATAAAAACCAGGAAGGGTCGGAATTGGAGCGTCTTGCAGTTTTTAACGCGGTACGTGGAGTACCGAAAGCTCAGCACATATACGATCTACCTAACAAAGGTAAAGCTCCTCAGAAGCTCGTCTCGCAATTTCTACGATTTTAAATTTTCAGGTAACGAAGACGTGGAATTCGATCTGGTCGATATCGATTCTGTTGCGTTGGGAGACAAATTCACCGCGCTCGTTAGAATTGAGAACAAATCCGCTGAAGAAAGAACAATCAAGGTGGTACTCTCAGTATCTGCGGTACATTACATGGGAACTACTGCGAACGAAATCAAGAAATCGAAGGGTTCCATCAAGTTGAAACCTGGTCAGAAGGAGACGGTTAGATTGGAAGTACCGCCGGAGAGTTACCTCGATAAATTGGTGGATCACTACTTTGTGAAAATGTATTGCGTTGCTAATGTTACAGAAACGAAGCAAACGTGGAGCGAGGAAGATGATTTCACTCTTACTCTTCCTGAGGTTCAAATAGTCGCGCCGAAAACCGCCAAAGCTGGGGAAAAATGTCTCGTCAAATTTAGGTATGTTAAGCTCATTTTCTATGCCTCGCTTGATCGATATCTTTAGTAATTGGTAAACATTTTCCGCGAAAAATAATCGCAAGATGTATGCTGCCATAAAATTGCTTTATTACAGAGTATTATTTCTGTCAAATATCGTTTGTTATCGAACGAACGTGACTATTTCAAGTTTCGAACAATGTTTCGTTCGCAAAACAACCATCACGATACGGTGAAATTAATTTCGAATTTTCTTCAATGTAAACAACTGTTTTACTTTTCTAATACATGCATAACGTATTAACTAGTTGGATACCCGTGTAGATTTAGGCGATCGAATTTTCCAACTCACAATCGATGCTGATTTCAACTTTATTCTATATTTTTAGACACATGTATCATCTCTTAATAGTTGGTGTAATAATATATCTATTCATCGATTGATGTTCTAATTTTATAATTATAGTAATCTTCTTTTGTAGCTTCAAAAATCCACTTAACATGCCCTTAACGGACTGTTCGTACACTGTCGAAGGACCTGGTGTGAGCAAAGCAAAAGAAATAAAATTCAGAGACGTAAAACCTAAGGAATTGGTCTCCATATCCGAAAGTTTCGTTGCTAAAAAACCTGGAGACAAGAAGATTATCGTCAACTTCAATTCGAAGCAAGTGCACAATATCCATGGAACATCTAACATAACTATCGTGTAACATTATTGTTTTGGTTTAAACAGAGTATTAACAATCTAATACCTTTCAAATTTTTATAATAATAAACTATCATTTTAAGTAGTTTGTTTCTGTTATAATTTTCTTCAATAATCAGTAGAAGAAAGTCCTTATATGTCACCGAAGAATAAATCATCGGAATCAATAGAATAGGTAATTATGCACTAATGCGCGAGAGGAAAACCTGACTGAATAACAACATACTCACTTCTATAGTATTTGAGTGGCGTGGGTTTATTCAAACAGTCTGGGTCTTGTTACTTGTTATTAAGCAAAAGCAAGCAAAGTGCGAGCAGTCGAAATCAGCCAGCCCAAGTATATGTTCTACAAGATGCGCTCGTTGTGAAGTCTTCCTCTCATTCATTCATTCATTTCGTGAGAGTGAAATCGACCGTGACTTTATAACCAAGGACGCGCAGATATGTTCGTTTGAATAAAATTTAATTCGCGCTGTTTTTTACTCGACAAAATTTTAAAAAATGGGTCGGTTTTATTTGCCCACTCGGTGTTGCTCCGGTGTCTTCAGGCCATTTAGGGCTAGGTGGAGTCCCAATGCAGATTTGCAATTGCAACCTCTACCGAAGCCTAAAGAAGCTGGTAAGTTTGTTCTCTAATTAATTAAAATGTTGGATCATTTATTATTTTTATACAAAAAAGGTAAGAGAGACTAAAAATTAAAGAACTTGAAGTTGCATTGATACGGATGGAGACGATACAAAATTGGATTACTAACGGAAATTGCAGTAAACCAACAGATAGATGTAACTGTAACTGTATCTAATTAGTATTTTAAACAATCTTAATAGGAAATAAACTCTTTTAAAGATTCTTATATACATATTACATAATTATCAGAAAAGCACATCAGTATTTATTACGACAAAATATTTTTATATGGTAATTAGAGATTATACTAGTAAATTGTAGTTCTGTGCTTTTCAGTTTTAAAATAGGTAATTAAAAATACTATTATGTAGAACATATGGTTTGGGATGCCTTGCCATGAAAATTCGATTCGTTGGCTATAAAATATTTAAAAATAGGAATTTTGAAATAAAATTCACTTTCGATAGTAGAATGAAATGTTCTATCACGAAAATTAATTAAACACATGATGATTAAAGAATTCTTTGAAGAGTGTTCTAAAATGAACTGGAGATAAAAATATTAAAAAATAAATTGATTTAATATTGGAATATAGGGCAATATATTATTTTCAATTTTAATACCTAATAGTTATAAGAATCATCCTGTAAATTTTATATAGGTGTAACTGGATAAGAACTTTACATAAATTCTATTTTTAGTCATTATTGCATATATTTCTACTTATTGCTCTATAATAAAATATAATTTCAGATTATTATTTAATGCTTGCCTTAATTAGATATTTATGAATGATTCATACAATCTTAATTGATTTAAAAATAATTTTTAAGAGGTTATCAGTACCTAAGTATAACTATAGTAATTGATTTGGTTTTTTCTTTCGTGTATTAACAAAATATCGATGCAAAAATGAGTAAATTGTGTTAATAGGTTACACTATTTTCATCGGTTTTATTCTCTTCAATTATATTTATTCTTCCACACAATGTTTTCCTTGTTAGAAAAATACTTTAGAAGACTATACGACTTTAAAGGCTAATATTTAAATAAAAATATCCTCTGTTTTGTCGCACAATATTTACACTACTATGACATAAACCTACTTTTTTAAATATAACTCACTTTTCAAATATGAAGCACGTCAAAAAATAAAATTCTTTTTAAGTAATAGTTATATAAAATTTTAGGAACCGCATTATGCTGTTGAAGTGTGCATAACTGAAATTAATTATTCGATCACGTTCGACTACCAAATTGAAACATGTAATACACATTTCCAAAGAAATAATGACTGCATTGGTAATGACTAATAAAATATAATTCAGCGTGAATACGAAATAAATGCGATGTGACATGTACCAAAAATATCCCATTTGTTTACCAATTGACGTCTCTTTTACAGCAAATTGCAAGGTGCTCACCTTGAATGAACTAAAACACCATTGAGGCACGGATTTCAAGGAAGTGGTTTAATGATTTAGTTTTACGGTCCTATGTATGTAGGAGTTAATGAATACATAGACTACACCTACAAATTAGGCATATACTAGGATATGTGCTATGATAGATTAGCTACGCATAATTTACTCAAATCAGTACAGATGACCTATAAATATCATCAATTTACGTTTTAAAATAAAACTCTTGCAACATTCTTTACAAAAATTAACACGAAATCTAAAACAAACAATCCAAATTTCATCTGTATGAAATTTCCCAATCCAATTTTCGATCAATCTAAAATAACTTCCAGATGAAACCGACGCATCTTCGCCGGTTGTTGAAGAGGAGCCCGATATTCTAATAATAAGAGACATCGATCCGTGTATCGACGAGAACGGCTCGTTTCATCACACCTCCCGTTACGAACTTATGCAACGAGAATTCTTCTCTCAATTGGTGGTCAGGAGAGGTCAAAGTTTTCAATTGGACATCACCTTGAATCGGCCGTACGACGAGAAGAGAGACGGAATTTCGTTCATATTTTTCGTCGACGGTAAGTATCAATGCTGCTTACAATTAACCACTTTCTCCCATTCGATGCGTATAAAAATTTATAGGAGAAGACAAACTTTCCCACGGAAACGGCTCGCTGGTAGGGGTTCCTCTGCTAAAGGAAAGACACCAGTCACTATCCTGGAATGTTGTATTAGACAAAGTAAATGGAAATGTGATTACCATACAGGTGACAACATCACCTGATGCTATAGTCGGAAAATGGAATTTAGAAGTCGATACAAGGATCATAGATGGTGGAGCTTACAGCTACAGCTGGGAAACCGGTGTGTTGTAAATTAACAAAGCATTGTTAGAGTTGAGTGAAGATAATGATGAATTTCAGGTATTTATATGCTGTTCAATCCATGGTGTGTGGATGATCAAGTTTATTTAAAATCGAGCGATTGGAGGGAGGAGGCTGTTCTGAATGATGTGGGTTTGATATGGAGAGGAACTTATAACAGAATCCGCCCGGTGATATGGAAGTACGAACAATTCGAAAGGGACATACTGGAATGCTCTTTGTATTTGATGAGCGTGGTGGGAAAAATTAATCTTAGACAACGCTCGGATCCAGTGATGACAGCAAGGTGATGATAGTATAAACGTTGTTTTTATTTTTCCCATTTTATCTCTACTTAAATACACGCGATATCAATTAACCTACATGTGAACTCTTATTTATTTTGACTAATGCTTTCTATAGAGGTGTGAAAGGAAAGTGGCCAATTCGGAGAAATGCGTTAACAAAATAACAAGTATATTATACATAGTACAAATACAATAGTATCTACAAACATAATATTGATAAGTAATGAAATTATTAAATTGAATTTTCTCGGTAGAGATAAAAACCTTGTGTTTAGGTATAATACTGATGCCTACATAATCGAATGCATATTTATAAACAAAATTTATCACATTATTAGAATTTGACATAAAAAAATTGAATTTAAATAAATTACAATTCAAATAGCATAACTTCTTTCGAATAATTCAGGGCTTTGGCAGCCGCTGTAAACTCTCCGGACGATTATGGCGCAGTCATGGGCAACTGGTCCACAGACCAAAGTGGTGGAACGCCACCCACAAAGTGGGTAGGAAGCAAGGAGATATTACAGCAATATTACAAGAAAAAGAAACCCGTCAAATACGGCCAATGCTGGGTATTCTCTGGAGTTTTAACCACAGGTTTGTAAATTACAACCACTATACCGACTGTCTACAATAATAACATTTTACAGTTTGCCGTGCACTCGGCATACCAACTAGAACAGTCACGAATTATTCATCAGCCCACGACACCCAAAACTCCCTCACTGTCGATTACTTCATGGACGACGATGGCTCGTTAATGGAGGAAATGGCCTCGGACTCGGTCTGGAACTTCCACGTTTGGAACGAAGTGTGGATGGACCGACCGGACCTGGGTAGCCACTACGGCGGGTGGCAAGCCATCGACTCCACGCCCCAGGAATTGAGCGACAACCAGTACAAATGCGGACCAGCATCAGTGATCGCAGTAAAGCAAGGAGAAATCCTGAGACCCTACGACAACACCTTCTTGTTTGCGGAAGTCAACGCAGATAAAGTACGCGATTTTATAAATTTTGTGTAGAAGTATTATTGATGAGGATTGTTTACAGATTTATTGGAAATATTCCGGACCAACGCAACCCTTGAAACTGTTGGGTAAAGACACTTACGGTATAGGAAAATTGATAATAACCAAAGCACCAGGAATCTTCGATAGCGAAGATATTACCTATACATACAAATACGCTGAATCCACCGAAGAGGAGAGATCGACCATGTTGAAAGCTCTGCGTCAATCGGAAAATCTCTTCTCGAGATACTATCTAAACGAAGAATTCAACGACATTCACTTCGATTTCAAGCTGCTGGACGACATCAAAATCGGGCAACCGTTTAATGTTATTCTATCGATGAAAAACAAACATAAAACGAAAGAATACAAAGTCGGCGCCAGAATAAAAGTCGACGTGGTGACTTACACTGGGAAAGTGGGCGAGAGCGTCAAAAACGAAAAATTTAACGTGACCGTTAAACCGAACTCTACTCACGACATCAAATTAGAAGTTACATACGACGATTACGGAAAGCGATTGATAGACCAGTGCTCGTTCAATATAGTCTGTTTAGCCAATGTAGAAGACACCAATTTCGAATATTTCGCGCAAGATGACTTTCGAATTAGAAAACCTGACATAAAAATCAAGCTCAGAGGCACGCCTACGGAATTAACGGAAATAACAGGAGATATTTCAGTTGAAAACCCACTGCCCTTGTATCTTAAGAAAGGTGTTTTTACCATACACGCGCCCGGAATTGAAGATAAACTGAAAGTATACGCGAAGGATAGTGTACCACCCGGTGGTAGCGCAAAAGCGGAATTTAAATTTACTCCTTCTCGTACAGGAAGATTCACCATCGCGGCAAAATTTGTATGTAAACAAATGGATGATGTCGATGGGTATTTGGTCATTATGGTGCAACCGAAAAAAGATAGTGATAATAACGAAACTTCTAATTCATTATCTTAGATAATGAGGTCTTGAAGTTTGTTCGATAATTCAGATGAAATACGCTTCTATCTTTTATTAAAAACTAAATAAAGATCAAGTAAGTAGAAACTCATCGTTTCAATAATTGTACGAGAATAAGGCAGCATGTATTAAATATTAAATAGGAAACTGAAGAAAATTTTATACTGCCATTGTATTAATTACTTTTATTGGTAATTGGAAAATTGCAATGTGTTCAGTTATTTTTAAATGAACAAATGCAATTAACAATATTTCCAGTAATCTGTCCAATAACTTAAGCTTTAAATTTTTTTAATATAGTATTTCATAGCTCGTTTTTTGTAGTTTATTTATAAATATATGTATTTTAAATTAAATTATTTTTCAATAATCAAAATTTTCCTTACCTAATATACCAGTTGTCCCACAATAAATTAAATAAAAACCGCCTAAAATACATTTAAATATTTTAAAACGACACTTCTGCCATCTTACAACGGAGGAAAATACTAAAGAGCCTTTTTTATCGAGAGAAACCTGTTATCTAACGTGCACTGGGCTATTCAGACAGGCAAGTACTTATGTAAAGCTTGAATAGAGGTCTCTTTTAGTATGATTTTAAAATTTTAATGCTACATAACAACTGAAATAAAATCAAAAATCCTGTAAACAAGATTTCCAAATTAAAAAATAAGCAAAGTCATCGAGAGTAAATTTGTAAATCTACACCTATCTTCCTAAATCATCATAACCAAATGATTTGCATTTGAGTAAAATTTAAAAGAACAACTTTTCATCGACCAGACGCGCACTCTTCTTCTCCAGCACATTTGATTACCGAACTATCATTCTATCAATTTAATTTCTCTACCTGTCGAAAGTGCCACTTAGCTCATCGGCGTTTAATGACAGCAGCACTATTAGAGCTAAAAGCCATTATAAACTCGAAGGTGTGGATGTTAGGATCAAAACAAAAGGCAGGAATTTTCGAAATATTTAAGGCCAACCCGTAATTTCGGTTAACTCGTTTTCGACCAAATGACCGACATTAGAGGCTTTAATAGTTGATTAGCAGTTTTTTAATAGAAATCCATTTGTTACCAAAGGCGGGCATGTGGATTCAAAATACCAATATTCCTTAAATAATTCCTTATCTATTTTAATAATCTTACTACAATCTTCAGTAGGTATCTCAATACAATTTTATTAATAGTTTTTGTTCGCGTATTCTATACAGGAGAATTGGACACCCCTAAAAAACTATTCAATCCCATCCCATGCCATCCCAATGAGACGTCCTTGGGACATTTCGCGCAGTAGAAACGAGAGGCTGTAACACCAACTAATTCATCATATCGAAGGTAGCAGTGTCCTGTAATTATCCGAGGCGCCGCTCGCACCTTCACTTGTGTTTTAGTTTCGTTTACCTACAGTGGCGTGTTGAACAACTTTTACAACAACTTCAGTTGCCAAATTATATCAAAATTCCACCGAGCTATACCAGAAATTTCGTCCCAAAAGAACACCAAATTTTTACTATAAATATTCTATACAAATTACTAGAGTTTCTCGTTTTTTAAAGCTGCATTATTTGAAAGCTTCTCGCAATACGCCAATGCGGTGAGCCTACTAATATCACCAAAGCAATTAACTTTGCGGCATAAGAAACACCGCCTTGTAGAGATACGCTGTTGTAAAACGAAATGAGGATTTCTAAGGAAGTAGTCAACAGAAAAAACGCGCCGTGGAAGGGTTAAAGAAACACCTACCAGTTAATGAGAATTTATTTTAAGTAGGTTTTAAGAGGATCATTACCTGCAGTCTTTGTAAAAAAACGGCGAGTAATAAGTTCGCAGGAAGATTGTTCGTTTAATATAATGCGATTATTTTATTTCGGTTTGTGGCGGTATGTATAAGTACCTGCCTATTAAGCCGCTGCGAGCATGAAAGTGTATAATTTTTTCTCTTTTGTAAAATGCAGCTTGTACTTATTCGAATCTGTTATTAGCAATTTTTAATCTTTAATTCCTTTGAAATACTCACAAGTCGGACTCTAATGAATTATAAATTCAAACGAAACCGTTCGCTATATTATCACGACAAAATAATATACAAATTATTTAGATTTAGATTCTATACACGGTAGGTATTTTACATTTTCAAATAGGTACATCCAGGAAAAATTACATAGCAAAGGCACAATCCAAATGCTGCATATTGCATAAGAACTTTCTGCATAATAGCTCTGTTCTAATGATGAGTTACTAAAAAATAATTGCGGTATAAATGAACGTCTAGCAAGTTTCCTTATATTTATTCTATTCCATAGAAACCGTTACCATTGATTGAAATATTTCTTACTATACCTACTAATATTGCTATCATGCAATTTTCGCTTATACTGCTCTTATACCTGCAATTTTTATTAATATAAACGTACGATGAACTTAGTTTTACATTAATAAAGGTTTGATTATACGTGCAAAACTTTAGAGAAGTTTTTTTTCAGTTTCTGGAGCTTCGTATTTTAATTCTGCTTATTGATTTTCTCTTTGCTTTCACCAATAACTGCAACGAAAAATACCAACGTAAGAACGAATCCTGATGGAACACAGCACAGCAGTTCTGCGAAAGTTGCTGAATAACCAGCGAACGTTAAGGCCTCATCAATATCTTTTAAAATTTTATTAGTCGCGTCTGAAGACTTTATGGTAGGTACTAATAATATATAATGTCCCAGCACCGGAGAGCATGCACTCAGAAGCCTGTCTAATTCGTTTAATTTTCGAAAGAACAATGCTCAACACTGTCCATTTTAAAATCTTATTCACGGCGATGAGTACTCATGGAAAAGTAAAATATATATTAACTCGGGATGTATCGCCTCAATGGCGTATCGGCAGAGACATATTTTAATTCATTACACATCTACCTCGATTCATTTATACTATGAAATTAAAAAAAAAGTAGGTAGGTAAATGAAAATTGTTGGATAGCTCTGCGAGAATGTTGTAAATGTAGATAATAAAGTAACTATCATTTAAGACCAATTTTACATCAATATTTAAATGTGTAGGTAATACTAAATTATTAAATTTACTTAATAATAAAATGAAGAAAACAAATTGCAGTACTATATCTAAATGGGTAAGTAAAAGAATTGGGTTGTGTGAAACTCTTCTTATCACAAACTTTACGGTGTTAAACAGAAACAACAGTAGGTAGGAAGCAATTCATTTTATATACACAGTAAAGTAGTCATTGCCAGAATCCGGTATATTAGAGAAGATAGCGGGTCGGCAAATTGGAAAAGCGCCACGTTTAATTGCCGAAAAGATCGCCCTTAATTCCTCGCCATGCCACTGCGTCGACAAAAACTTTACGACCAGTCTGCGTAAGAGCGGTGAACAGCGTTTATTGCAGTTTAAGTCATCGAAAGGTCCCTAAGAATGAAATTGCAATAACGTTTTTGTGGAAGTCGAATCGTTTTAAAAGTCAAGAGTGATGTATGGCCGATGCAATAATTTAAGTTTATGACTTCAGCCTGTTATACCACTAATTTGTTTTGTAAAATAAAAGCTCGCCCAAGGCGAGCACACAATCGCCTTTTTTCCTCCATTATAACCAACACTCAGACAGGACACCGGAATTTGTCTTTGCGCATCTTCAATTTCATTCAACAGCTTTCGACTGTAGTAAATAGATTTCGCTCAAGTGACACACTAGCATGGTATTAAATTATCAAACTGCATAAAAGTATAATTTAGAATTCACCAACATGTTGTGTCCCTATTTAGTTCTATTTTTACAATTCTTGCCAGATGCTGGGAATACCTAATTAAAAATGCGAAATTGCATCAGCATTACGCATTCAATCCATTTGAAATTAAAATGAGCAGCATTTCCTCAAAAACATCCACCGAATAATCCCTTTTTTGATTAATTCGCGGAATCCATTTTTAGCCGAGATTATTCGTCTGCCGAAAGAACACTCAGGCAGTTTTATAGAGGGCGATTCGAGGCACCGAAAGAGAGCGGATATTATTTATCTCCGAGTGCCAGTAAGTAGAGTGTGTGTGTGATATCGGCCTGCCCGAGGCGGGCGGACCTTTGTTTCACACCTTCGACCCGTTCCAGCAGTTAATTAGTTTCACCATCTAATTATCGGAACGACTTTAGTTTTCGTGCATACCATAAATAATGCGGGCTCAAATTCCAACAGAGGCGCACAAGAAATTTATTCACAAGTAAATTTGTTATCTTATAAAAATTTTATTATAGGTATTCAACTCTCTGGTATAAAGGTATCTCTAATTTTATCGTTGTAAGTTGTAATGATGTTTCTTTTAGTTAACTTGCAATGGTCATTGCTATATACTTTTAATTGAGTTATTTTGGTGAGGTAAAATAAAAAATGTAGCAAAATCTGCACGTCTATGGTGTAGAACATGGACTATTAGCCGATTGTCGGCCATCCATCCTGCGGTGCCTTTTAACGTTTAGTGTCGAAATCATTACTTAAGTGTAAACTTTGAAGAAAATTACTGCGCTTCTCATAATTCATTATACCTATATTACAACAATGATTGGATGTAAATGGATCCGATTCCCATCAGATAGCGAACGAGATTTATACGCAGACATCATAAACGAGTATTATTGTATTTTTTGGTCGCATTGTATCGCCCGGCTCTTTGACGGTGGCTGGCGGAGACTCGACAATTAACTTTGACCCGCTCGAAAATTTTGCTTCGCCAGTTCCTTCGCCAAATTTTCGAAAGCGTTTCGAAATTATGGCGTAACCCGGTGCGTTAGAAGTTTATCGAAGTTAGCATCGCTGAAAAATTAATTCTCCCGCATTAACATTCGGTTAAAAAAATAAATCATTCGTTCTAAATCGCTCGCTCGCTTTCTTTGCCACCTGATTAGCATGATTCAACGTCTGACAACTCTTCTCCTATGCATCGAACTCACGACATTCCGATTCTATCAGATCGTAGATACGATTCCGATGCGGTGTATCTACTAATTCTCGATTTTTCAATATCATCGTCATCAATCTGTATAGCTGCGTAGTCGATCGAATTCACTGCGAGCGACCAGAGGCGTACGAAAATCATTTTCTCAATAAATTACGCTATTAATGTAATTGGTGTAAATTTTGTTCGACGTATTTTATGAAATATTCGCAAATAAAACTAATAATTTATGAATGTAAGTAATTCGCTTACTATAAAGGTGGATATGTAGGTGTATTATTAAGAGAATTGGATTTTATATTTATAAAACTGCCACTGGGTCCATAAAAAGAAAAACCTCGGTGTGCAGC